AGTAGCCATTTTGCCTTAATTATTAGGGGGCGCGGCCGCACGTTATGAATAGTTATCAACACTAAACGTCATCATTAATGATGTCATCGTGAAAAACGGGCCAGTTTTTCAAGATGACGTGCTTCCGTGCATGTGTCCCTTTAAAGCATGGGTCCGAGTGCTCTATTGGATTTATCCGCACCAGCTTCCGGTCGAGTTGCTAAAAATAGAGCATGAGGCCCAAGGCCGAGTGCTNTATTTTTAGCAACGAGACAGGAAGTGAGTGCGGATAAATCCAATAGAGCACGACGGAGCCATGCTTTAATTGTTTTGTAGTTATTTCTCAGAAGAATCTGACCTTATCAGTGAGTGCCACGTGTGAAACCACAATGGCACGCGGTCACCATAATGATATTCATTGAACCTTGACCACAAGTGTGCCCCACTGCACTATAGCCTGTAAGAATTATGGGTTTATAAAGCAAGCTCCTTTTTCCTCGCTGTGTCCTTCCTCACTGAGGCTGAAAGTGAGTTGGACAGGTTTTTTAGAACTTTCTTTGGAAGTCATCACTGACTTTCCAAAGGGCAAAGGGTCAAAGTTCAACTCCCAGTACTGCTATTGGAATGCTCTAAGTCCAATAGGCAATAGAGCTATGGGTAAGTCTCTCACAGCTGTATACAGGACTTAGTATGGACATCGGCAGTGCTCTAAATCCCACAGAGTACTGAGAGTATCTTCACAGTACTCTGTGGGATATAGAGCATTGAGTTTCCTTTGATCTTGAAGTCAAGTTAACTACAAAGCCTATAATAGAGTTAGACAGTATAGTCTTATACTATACCACATAACCACAATACTACTGTAACCATTACCGTAGCTATAAAGCAAGTAGTACAGTTTTAGCTATAGACCACCCAGAGTGAGAATTGTTAATGCTATGAATTTCATTAATTTTATATACGGTATCCGCCCATGCGCCATAATTGGCTGCCATTTTGGTTGGCAAGTTTGTTAAGGAAGTCAATGGAGGCACGAAGAAAATGCCTCACTTACCTGCTGTAGCTCTATCCATAGCTAAAAAGTGCTTGTTATAAAAAAGAATAGCTACCTTTAAGCTTATCCTGTGAAAGATTTGGTCAAATTCGCTCCAGAATTCTTAATAATTATAGGTTTGTTTTTACGTCGTCCCGTTTGCTCTCCCATTGAAAGTTGCCAACCAAAATGGCGGCCAGAATTTATTTCATTGTAAACCACGCCTTACAACCGTAATAGTACAGTCTTCCCACGCAAGCAATTCTCACTCTGGGTGGTCTATACATCTCAGTAGTATATAGTAGGAGTTAACCCTTTGATCTTGATTACAGCACTTTTAAGTTCTCATTTTCACCCCTTATTTCTGTGTCAGTCAGTATAGGGAGTAGAATCTAGTTGCTATTTATAGTTCATGATGGCTGGAAAAGTGCAGAACATCAAAGATGTTAATGATGATGATGTGAGGAGGTGTCTGTGGGTAGCTGAAGAAAAGGTTAATGATGTTAAAGAGGAAATAAGAAAATACAAGTCTTCTGTTCATATGACTGAGCCAAAAAAGTTAGAGTATTTTTGGTTGTCTGGTAAAAGGGAAGTGATTCAAAAGATCTGTCGTGATTCTATAAAAGAGCCTATATCTGCCAATCCTAGTGCTAGGGACAATAAAACTGGCTTAAGATGCTCAACAGTGGATCCATTTGAAATGCAATTCGAAAGTAAAGCGTCACTGTTTGTAAAAATTGATTATATTTTATTATCATACAGGAAACTTGGGAATAACATTGAAATGTCACTTCCCATTGGAGCCTGATGATGATAGGTCTGCCAAAGTACAGCAAATAATTCAGAAGCTTTATGATATGCCAAACAAGGTATTTCCATTTCAGTGCTGGTTGGTAGATCTATTCTACATCTTCTGTAGGAATATGATGACCCTTCAATCATATACAACATTGAGATTATTGAAGTGACCCCTGCTTGGTCCTATACCATACAAGGAGGGAATGGAGGGCTGGATGATGATGTGGGTCAGTATGAAAGGCGTATTATTGATGTCACCATTTGTGACAATGATTTCCGAGATTGCCATTTAGTTTGCCCAGAAGTCTTGGAAGCGGATATTATTACAGTACTGAATGAAGTCTGGGAGAATCAGTATGTAACTCAAATTAAATCTAACACCTCATTTCAATGTTTCTTTTGTAGTGTTATTAGGCAGTCTAAGCACTAGATTCTACTATGGAACCAAAACAAGCGTACCTAATTTTTAAAAATTAATTTCTTTTGATAAAAATAGGCTGATAAACATTACATAATAAATGAAACATCAAAATTTAATGTTAACAATAATTAGACTTCACATGATCAATGAAAATTTTCCTATTAGCAATAATAAAAAATGAAAAGTTGCAATGATAATAATATTGATAAGCAGTAATAAAATAAATGGCAGTTACTTAGCATGTGCTTACTGCAGTTCTCCAGTTACTTCTTTTATTCTCTTTCTTCTGTTATGACGCTGACAATAATAGATGACAGTAATGATAATTAATAAAGCAAAGAAAATAATTAATGTTAAGCCGCAGAGAGGAAGAGAGTATATCCAGTACTTTTGAAGATAGACTCCCTTTGTTATAAATGTAGCGAACAGATTCACTTTCCCTTCAAATCCAATAGTAGTGTTACCAAAAAGACACAAGTGACCACGATTGTTCTTATATCTGCTCTTTTTGGGATTTATCGGGATAGAACAATTTTTACTTGACCGAGTAAGATGGTACTCATCAACTGTGTATTTTGCTGCATTTGAATATGCTGATATATTTCCTGAAATGCTGACATTAACTTTAGTTTGATTAACTACAGCAAGAACAAAATAGAGCAGAGAAGTGCTTGGTAATGTTATTGAGAATGAATGAGTTCCATTACTACCAACACAATCTGAACTGTTGTATACAGAACGAGGTGGCTTATCTTTTGGATCTCTAGCAACATTTTTGTAGCTAATGTAATCGGCAGAGACATTACAAAAAACAAGCAATCTCATTGCACAAGAGACCCTATCAGGATTGCTATTTACCAAATCAATAAATAAATTAAGAGTCCCTCCACCACTTGCCGTATAAATAGGTTCGTGACAATCGAAATACGAAATGGAGATGGGAAGAGAGGAATGACCAGAATGGCATTTATTATAAATGTATGGTAAGACCAGGTGATACGTGCTAATATGTTCTTCAGGTATGGCATAGACAGTAGCGTAGTCCAGCGTCAAGGAACTGACGTCAACTAAATCTGTATTTGAAGTATTGAAGCAGTCCAATTTAATGGTAGTGTTGACACCAATTGGGTGGGTCTTATTCTGTGAGTCTTTTTTGTCAATGGATGGAATTAACAACAGGATCAAAATAACAGTAATCATTGAGAAACAAAGGATCGATAAAACTACCACGAAAAAGCGACAGGTACCTAAAAGGTATTAAAGACACATTAAACCAATGAGTTATAAATACCAAATTAAATAACGTACGAGTTTTCAATTGCCTTGAAACCTTGATATCATGTCTCTTACAGTAGTCTCGTAGTTTCTGTTGGTAGCTTGAACAGCCAGATTCTTGTAGCCAATCAAAAACAATTTTAATGTTGTCCTTCTTATGAAGCGATTTCTTCTCTAAGAGAAGACGAACAAGGTCACAGCGATTATCAATATCTACATGGCCTAACAATACCCCACCATTTTGCTCAGTATGCAACCTCTTGAATTTATTGTAATCACTTTCACTCATTGATGTTACTGTGGTTGCTAGCGTGAGGATAATGTCGATTTGCTTGTAAACATCATCGTCGTTAGGTGATGCAGAGCAAGGAAGCCCATTCATGTTGTATCCTAGTCTCTCCAGCATAAA